GAGTGAGGATGAGGATCTCCACCTAAGTCCACATTCCTAGAAACAGTTTTAAAATAAAGCTCTCTGAAGTTCTCCTGTGGCCTCTGAACAGTTTTTCTTTTATCCGTTAGCAAAATATCAAGCCCAACAGAATATAAGTATAGCTCCAGAACAAGGCACATTAATATGAAATTTAAAAAAATCATGTTTCACCACCTTCACCAAGATGGCTTTCTACAGCTCTATCTATATGCACTCTGCAACAGAGGTCCCATAGAACTGAGAATTGTATAATCTGTTGCAATGCAAATATACATGGAAAATACAGTATAGAAAACTTTGGAAAGTAATGCAGAAAGTACCAGTTACTGGCTCCTGCAACAACATGGTGAACTTGAGTTCACACCAGTGTAGTATGCAAAAGATTTCAGAACTAAGACCAGTATTTAATTGACAAAATGTGCAAGCAATTAGTGAGACTTTAACACACAGATCCCACATGCTGTTATGTCCAAAACATCAAATGTCCCTACATCTCTGTGGCCTTGAAGATATGAGAGGGAAGGGGAGTTACATACTTGAATTTCTTGCAGGTTATGAAAATACTGAGGGAGGAGATCTGTGACTTTCATTGCCACACCCTCCCCCCCAAAGATATTGAGAGAAAAAATTAAGGTGTTTATTTCCCAACTGTGGTGACACTGAGGATATGATAAACATATTGAGCACCTTATAGCACAGACTTCTGCAGCAGGAAGGGGTCTGAATGCCAAATCAAGATCTTCATGGGGCAGAGGAGGGGAAGAAGGAATACACACTGAAAAAAGGTTTCAGGGGGTAGCCGTGTTAGTCTGTATCAGTAAAAACAATGAGGAGTTCTTGTGGCACCTCAGGTACATGGAGTGAAAAATACAGTAAGCACAGCAACTCCCATCTTTTCATGTGCTGTACATTTATACCTGCTTACTGTATTTTCCACTCCATGCATCTGATGAAGTGGGTTATAGCCCACGAAAGCTTATGCCCAAATAAATCTGTTAGTCTCTAAGGTGCCACAAGAACTCCTCATTTTTTTTACACTGAAAAAAAGAAAACTCTCCCCAACTCAAAATAAGAGGAGGGATGAAAAAGAGGTTTCATAACCCATAGTTTAAAAAAGGATAACAGATCTGATAAACAGTCTACTCTAAAGATGGAGGGGGCTCACTGAGTTGATTAAACTGCAAGACAGTTGTTTCTAAAGACACTCTCCCTTTACAGAAGAATGGCTTTATTGTATGAACTGCAAATGAACATTTCCAATATCATTCACTGAAATGGTTCTACCAGCATATTAGCTGAAACTTCCAATTCCAAGTCAAAGAAAATCTCAGCAACATTTCTACTGCCTCTGTCCAGAACATGAAATGAGCAATTCCCCAAGGAAGGTAAAACATTGTCCTTTCATATCCCATCAGAAGAGGCAAATCCCTGCCACACAAACCACAAGTGAGCCTTTTTACATCCCATCATACATGACCCACAAAACAGAAGAACTATTGATAGCTCTTCCCCATGCTCCCCACTTGGAGACCCCAGAGTAAGGGGGAGCTCTTCCTTCTTTCCCCACCAGGAAAAGCAGTGCCTCTCTCTAGGCAAAGGAGGTACCCACCCTCACCCGGCCATAGGAATAAACCACCTAACCTCAGGTTGGCTGCTTCCACTCCTGCCATAAGAGTAACACCCCTCACCCAGCCTCCCCACCTCCCTAATAGTAGGCGCT